TTGGAATCGTCGCACGTAGCTTCTCGCGTATTCGTATCCTTGTCAATAGCCTTTCGTCCTTCGCCGCCCTCCAGCCATCTTCATGACTTGGCTCCGAACGTCGTTCCAGTCGTATGTATTCTGTTCTCAATTCCTATGCCTAAAAATGAAATCATGCACTATATAAACACATCGGTGTTGTCGATATGTCTTCCGTGTTAGTGCCGCATCCTTCGTGGATTTGTTTCCGCGACTGTTTCAAGTGTTCCTCCAGCTTGAAGAAATGAACTTGAGAGTGTTCACGAAATGTCGGAAACAAATCTATTTCTTCACATCATAAAAGCCTCAAATACATAGACATGTAGAATAGATTGTGCATTTCTACACAAAAGATGAAGTCAGTATTAGTAAAAGAGGACAACAGAGAGTAAAATGTTTTTATTGTCTAATTGTCTAGTTGGTGAGAAGGACAAAGGAAGAGAAGCGATCACATGATCAATGCGTCCTCTCTTTCTTTCACTGTGAATACGATCCACTAGACGTTGCAAACGCTTTAAAGTGCTCAAAGAAAAGTCATGATTGATCTATAAGACTGCACAATCGATTTTATAAATCTATGTCAAATCGATATACTATGAGAAATAATGAATTTTAATAATATATCCAGTAAATACAGAAAATCATTGATAGAAAGTTATTGCAACGATATTCAATAGCGAGTAACATTTTCTAATACGCAGTTTTCAACGTTGTATTAATATTATTATAAAAATAATTTAAATTTGTTTAAAATATTTTTACAATATTCTAGAACTATTTTACTATTTACCTGATAATATTTTTGAAATAACTTTGAAATATTAGGTAAAAACGTTCAAGAAATATATATAAAATCAACATTTTCAGTATGTCGATCTAAAGAACTAAAAGGCATCTAATCTTCTTTATTTACTGGAATATTAGTGAACAGTTTTTTGCTCGGGTATCTTTTCATCTCTTACTGAAATCATGATCACTTTTCGTGAATGGGCTCAGAGTCTGCGTAGAGGTAAAAGTCGATGTTTGCGATTTACTTCTCTTCTTCTCTCGCGAGCAAGCAAGCAGTACGCTGAGAAGCGCGATGACTTCGACGAACATAATGGCTAATTTGATAGCTAAAGGATCAGCAACTGATTCTGCATCCATTTCTCAATGTGCTCGAGGCAACTCTGAATGCAAAACAAACAAAATGCAGGATATATATATTATACATACCGAACGTGTATGTTCTGCACAGGAAAATTTCGGAGAACTCACTGCTGTACTTTTACAACTGAATTTAAAAACTTGAAACGTTTGCAGAAAAATTTCTATATATCTCCATAGTTATGATTTCCACTCAATATAATAAAGCAAATATTTATATAAAATCTGTATGTACAGAGAGATAGTGCAAGAAATACAAAAATGAGAGCAAAAATAATAATCATGTTATTGCTTATCTGATATGATGTTCTGTCGATTTATCGGTATTTTTGGAGTTTGTCATCTACTTTGGCATCCTCTTAAACGAGTATAACAAATGCGTAACTTTTTATCTACTTTTTATCTATTTTTTACTAGATTTTCTCTTGTTGCAGGTGAAAATTGACACCTTCATATATTTCTTACACAATCGCGTGTCTTTTAAGGCGGCGGATCTTTACAATCGATTTGCCACTGTTTCAATCCGTAAGTGTTCCCTTGTCTTACTTACGTAATTAAGTTAAACACACAAAAATTGATAGTGGGTTTGTTTTCAGATCGTCGCGTCAATAACTACTTATTTCATAGTATTGATATAATCTCGCCGAAATAGATTTATTTTAACGTGAATTATTCTCTTTCATGATAAATATTAAGAATTCGAAAGGTGCGCAAAGTGTATATTTATATATCCTGATTTAATCGCGTCAGTCAGTAATAGTCACAATGTAGAATTGATAACAGCGTTGACATAGATTCCGCACGGGCGTAACGAACGTTTGTATAAAAAGTCACGTAGCTTCTACAGAATGATTCAAAACAACTATCTTTGAAATGTCATAATTTTGCAATCCTGAGACGATTTTTCCTTTTGCAAAATATTATCCGACGCTTAATTTTCGTTTGCGCGCGATTTCTAAAAATAAATTGTTTGTAAAAGTGTTGAAACAAACATTTGTTTTCCAAACTACGGTTTATTATAAAGTGATAAATTCATCATTATCATAAGATAAACAATCCCTACAAAGGAATACAAATTCAATTGTTTTAATATTAATTATCTTAAAATTAAAAATATCTGTTATATTGTTTCTCAAACTGTGATTAACACTCCGTCTTTCATTCGTATTTTCAAAGTTTATTTTCTAATTAGATAATATTCGCGTAATCATTCACGAATTTTCTTTGATTAATAGCTTAGAATTTTACATGATTGTTCGCAAAATGGTAGAGAGATTTTTTATTGAGTTTGACATACTCTACCTGTACACCGCGGCTTTTCTGTAAGTTAGCGGACACCCTGTATATCAATCACACTAGGAGTAAATAAGCGTCTGCGTCCGATGGTGAATAGTATCGCCTGTGTCTACCACGTGTACTTGACTTGTAAACTATTTATTTTTCTAACTCGGAAGCACTAAGTTTCAGATGACATCTCGCAAAAGTAAAAATCGTTTCAGAATTCCTTCAAGATTATGATATTTTAACGACATGTAGTTGTTTTGAATCATCCTGTATACCGGCTTTTTTATACGTGGGCTCGCGTGTTCCAATGTAAAACAAGACCATAACGTGATGCGTATCATTAGTAAGACTAATGCTCTTGTTACATTTATTAGCTAACGCGCCGCAAATGGATTTACAATGTTATGCGCGCGACTCAGACGATCGTCAGCGATTGTGTCAGTGCTCTGTCAGACAATTGTAATCTTTGTCTTCTATCGCACTGGTTGCATTGGAATACAATACACCTACCCGCTTTATCGGAACATAATTTAACGCGAGACATAAAAGAAATCGAAAGAAAAAAGAGAGTAGGAAAAAAACGATAATCTATATAGATCTCAGTCGCATCAATATGCCCGCAATCATTAGAATGTTACGTGAATCGGTTAGCTTCGCTTTAGTCGCAAAGAAACGAGCTTGTCGGAAACTGTCGCGCGATCTGAAACAGTAAAGTTACTCATCATGACGGAATCGATATCGTCAGTAAAAGCGCCTTTCCAAAATCTCAAATTCCTGGTTATAATTAACAAATTAATGGGTTTGATTTCTTGTAAATTGGAAAAAGGCCGACTCAGGCCAAGCAGTATCTGGACCCGACGCTTTTGTTTATTTTGGATATTGTTTCATTGTGCGTACACCTTTATGAACTATTATAAGTGGTGCACGCAGTCTGATATCGAGACTCATTTCTTTCTTAATATCATACGGCTTAATTTCTTCTTCGTTTCATTGCTCCCTTATCACTACGTGGCGGCCTTTCGGAGTCGAGATGTCGTTAAGGTGAGTGAGCTCGTAAAACCTCAAATTGCAATCAAGCGTATCAGGAAATGTGAAATATCAAAATGGCACCTTGAAAGTAACCACCATGGGATATTTCACACGAAGAAAACGCTAAGGATATCACTTGCCTAAATATGGTTGACATATTTAGGTATACAAAATATTAATGTTAGTTTTCGCTCATATATACAAGATGGTGTAGTAACCATAGTACTCTGGAAGTGGTACACTAACTTTCTTTACTGCCTATTAAATTATTCATATGTGTATATTAAGTTAAACTGGAAAATTAAAGAAGTTTGGTATATAGTTGTGTGCGATAATGCACTAATCTTTTTTAATTAATAACCAAACATCTATGTGATTATTTGGAAAGTGGTAGAGGACTTTCTTGTTCAGTTTAACCTAATGTACAAGCATACAGTAACAAACGTCGCGATCACAGTTCATCTGCCGTATGGCGCGTGATTATTCACGAATCTTCTTTGATTAATAACTTAAAATTTTATATGCTTGTTCGTAAAATGGTAGAGGAACTTTTTGTTCAGTTTGACCTAATCTACATGTACACCACGATTTTCGTTCATGTATACAAAATGGTTTCTCTGTGAGTTACTGGACACCCTATATATGATAAGAACTACAGCTGTAAGAACAGTATAGATGGACATGTAATAACAACAATTTTTATAATACCATATCTATTTTATTTTAAATCACGTAAATTTTCTTTCTAGTCATGTAAAATATGGATACAGCAACTATAGTAGTTTTTCTCCGTGTGCATGATTGTCACAGTTCTCCGACAAACTCGAAACGTATGACGACAAAGCGACACTACTGGGACATCGGAGAGAGGACAAACACATGTTCATATCGCTGTACTTCACGTATACACTCACTATACTAATCATAAAGACGTATCTCAACTTCAGTCTGAGCATAGAACAAGGAACAATAGCAATATTAACGGTGGTATTCGAAGACATCATCCCTGTTATAATTGGTACTTACTGCATCTTCATCACCGTCATATATCTGGATCTGATACGTCAACGTTTTCGTCATCTGAACAAGACTATAGTGCCGAAAGTGTCGGAGTTACCGGTGACTGGATCGCAGGGCGAGATTACGGTTTACGATGTGCGTTATTTGCACGGCGTGCTCATCGATAGCGCGGAACTGATAAACGATTTGTATGGCTTTGGCACCTTGACTACCTTTATGTCTATATTATTGGAATTTGTCGCGGTTATATACCTACTCATAGAGAAAATGGAGAAGAACAATATAGCGATACTAACGATGTTGGATTTATCCTTTCAAACTATTTACTTATTCGCAATGTATCACTTCGTGGCTTTAGAGGTAAACAAAGAAATGCATTATCGTACCCAATCATGCATCAATCTTCTTTAATTAACTTAATAACTTTAATTAACTTATTAATTTGATGACTTAATTAACAATAATAAATAAACTTAATAACTACAAGTCTATGTAAAATGGTAAAGGACTTTTCTGTTCAATTTGATTTAATATATAATACAAGCACACGACGGCGAACATCGCCATTAAAGTTCATCCACCGTATCGCGTGTGTGATCATCTATCAATTTTCTTTGATTAATAATTCAAAATTTTACGTGGTTGTTTGCGAGATAGTAAAGGAATTTTATGTTCAATTGGACGATTTCTATCTCTATATCGCAGCTGCATAACGAATTGTCGAATACCCTGTATATGCAACATTTTTGAACTTTATCTCTGTATCACAGAGATGTATCACAGAGATGTCACAGAGAGTAATGACATGTATCAAAATTTTGCATACATTATTCTAAACGTTTAAAGTACATGTATACAAAAATAGAAATTTTTGTCATTGCTTTTTTATTATTTTTTCCTTTTTACTAAAGATAGCAACATCATATATTTTAATTTAAAATATTCTTAAGTAATAGAATGATGTCAAATTAAATATTATTGACATTAGAAATGTCATTAATGTGTCTTTACAACGTCATTTGACGTCATAATGTTTGCTAGGCTTGCACTTCAAATTGTAATAACTTTTTATCCAAACTCTGAATCAATGTCAAATGTCAAATTGTTTCTGATAAATTTTAGATATAATAAAGATTAAATTTAAAAAAAAATTTTTTTTTTTTTTTGAGATATGGATAATATAGCTTTAATACTAACTGTAATGATCATCAAAGTATTCAATTATTCAATGCCTCGTTTTGTTTTGATAAAATATGTAAATTACTCTTAATTATCTGTCGATAATTTCATGCAGTATTATTATTATTGTTGTTGTTATTATTATTATTATTATTACAGGCGAATCGCATCGAAGAGAGTGTAGAGAAATATGGGCTATCATTCCAAAATACAAAATGCCGTATGGTAAGTTTCAAATTTATGTGAGACCAATTCATAAATTATTTAATAAAATTGACCAATTTCAGGATAAAATTGAGATGATGCTGTATTTTTATCACGCGAGATTTTATTTCACAGCCGTCGATTTTTTCATTCTGGATTTAACACTTTTCCTCTCGGTAAATCAATCTTCATTCAATTTGTTACTATTGAAAAATATTCTATAAATTTTCATGTTTCAGATATTTTCTACGGTCGCGACGTTTATGACTATAATAATATAAGTTTTGCAATAAGCTGAAAAAATCTATTGGAGAAAATAATATTGTAAGAGAAAACTTTTATGTAAAAATGTAACATATCATAACACACACACTTTGATAAAAATAACACGTTATTTAAATGAGGGCAGCAAGGATTTCATTTATTACAAAAAAGACCTTAAACATAAAATTCAATACATCAATAACATATTGGATACATATATTTACAGAATGCGTTCTTACACGCATAATTAATTTGCACGAATATACGAGAAGTGAAACGAATATAAGTGTAGAAGATAATCGTTAAAATTATGTAACTTAAGATATTAATAAATTGAAAATGAAAGACTTCCTTTGTCTTTTATTTTCACATGTTACTAGTTTTACTACTAAAATAACTAAGCAAATTAAACGTTGAAAAGGCATCTATTCATCAAACGGCAGCACAATCGGTAGGCTCGCTTCTTTTCGGTCCTCTAAATAACTTCATAAAATATCATCGATTTAAATTAGAGCAGGGTAGAAAGTCACGTCAATCTTAGCGTTCTAGCTTCACCACATCATATCTGTTTCCGAATTGCTGCGCGCCAGAGGATTCAGACATAAATTTTTGAGAACTTGAACAGCCTCCTCCCCATCGTCCTTCGCGTACAGAGTCGTTCGTTTTGCGCTCGTTTTAAGAGATTTCCTGCCGAAAGTATCCACCAGCGAGCTCACTTTGATCCCCTGCCTTTTAGGGGACCTGGCTGTTTTCTTCTTGAAAGAGTTCTTCGAGGATAGCGATCCCATTTTCGACGTGGTGAACGACGAGCGGCGATGCTTCTTCCTAGATAACCCGCCATTAATCGCATCCAAATGCGCCACCGATTTAATCGTAGATCTTTTGACGTTACGATCGATGTCTCTCGCAATGATCATCGTGCGATCCGGCTGTGGCGCCTTTCTCTTCGGCTGGTTTCGTCGTCGCACGTTTGGAAGCGTGCGAGGACTTTTGTAGATGGGTCCTAAGGTACCCACTATCCTGCGGCTTAAACGCAAAGGCTCTAGAATCTCATGGTCCTGCCAGGTCGCCACAACGGGTAAGCCGCAGGCGTTGTGCATACCTACCAACGGTACGCCAACAGCCCGGTGTCCCTTCACTTCGAAGACCGATCGATACTTGGGGTTTGCACTACGCAGGCTACGCCGTGCGTTCTGCTCATAAGCGGATATCTTCTGACCAACGTGACCTTCCCCTAACTGAGACGCCTGTGCCGCAGCCTTGTCGTTCTCCATGTCAGTTACTGCTATCGTGGTCGCGTTTCCTCGCGGAGGAATGCGTTTCGAGGTACGGCGATCTTTCGACTCGAATCTCCTTCGGGAACTCCTGCGGAAATACTCGTCTACGTCGGAGCCGTCCCGTTGCTCTTCTATCTTGCTGAAATATTGATTGTCCTCGGTATCCTTGTCCGTTTCATTGATATCAACGCAGTAACAGTCGCGCTGATTATCGCAAAAGTGGCAGAATAGCTTCCTCGGAGCGTCACCTTGATATTCTAATTGCGAGGCGGTGCATGTGGCCTGAGATGGGGTTCGGTGGTGGAGGTTACCGATTACAGGGACTCGCCTTTTCGACGGCATGTAAACGCTCCTCTCCGGCTCGGAGACGAGAGACTCGAATTGTAACTGTGGTGCCACTGATCGCCTTAGTGTTCCGATGTTGTGCGCGATTGAAGCTTGGTAATCCTTGATGGGGATGCTTCTGACCGTACCGCCGCCTTGGGGTCTTTTGATCTTGATCAGCTTGTCGTCGTTGCCGTTTGCCTCGTCCTTTTTAACCCTCGATGGCCGCGGCGAGCGCTGCGGAAATTTTTTCGTAAAATCCTGAGGACGACCGATCACAACGTCGATCGCACGCTCTTCGTATGCTCGGTCGCTTCGTAACAGATCCTCGGTGTACTTGGGAGGGTTTCGCCATTCCTCAATTATGCTCTTGCCGCTCGGTGCTA